TTTCTGTAATATTATTTTTACTGGTATTGTTGTCTTCTTAAGCCAAATCAATGCAGCAATTAAAAAGTCAAACATCAGAAGGGTGACCCTTTGTAGTTCTGTGTTCAAGATCACGGCAAAATTCGTCATGTCCCCTGGCTCTGTGCTTAAATTTCCCTGGCTGACTCAGGCACTTTCTCCAACTGTTCTTCTGCAGGTGTGAGCTATAATGGGTGTCCGGTGCCTCCTCCACACCAAACCCTGCATCCCCTTCACCAGCGACACATCACCGTGCCTACCAGCGTCCCACAGCAGCAGGTCTTTGCCCTGGCAGAACCCAAGCGGAAGCCATCCCTCTTCTGGCATACCTTCAACAAACTCACTCCCTTTAAAAAGTGAGAGGCCAAGGACTTGAGCACAGAGGGAGGACATCAGCACAGAGGGAAACTCACTCCGGAGGAGGACCTTGGAGACACAGTCAAGCTTACTTGAGCTCAGCAAATCTCCCGTTTCGGATGCAGAACCTTGGGTTCCCTTGAGCCAGGAATGCAGCCTTTGTATTGGTAAGAAAGCAGTTTGTTGAGGCTGCTCTGAAGTCCATGCTGCCAAGTGTCAGCATTGCTGATGAAGAGCAGTCACTCTTCTGACAAAGACAACTTGCTGTTACTCAGAGACAGCAGTATTTGGTCTCTGTTTCTTAGTTATGTTGAAGTAGTGATGGAATCATGCAGGTCATTGTAACATTTCATTTTTCTTAACCTTATATTGATGGCCAAATTTTGGATAGGGAGGAATTTTTCCTTAGGGATGTATCAGCAAGGAGTCTTAGGAGAATTTTCTCCTTCCTTGTGGAGCACTGAGCACAGAACACCCATTAAAATCCGGTGGAGATATCCCATGTGATTAGCCAGCTATTGCAGAATTTAGTGAACCCTAATCCTTCCTGTCTTTTTTCATTACATTGCCAAATGGCAGGAGAACATCCCGCAAGGCCTTACCATATTCCAGATTGGAACAGGGAAATTTCATTCTGTCCTATAGAAACACGAACAGAGTGTGAAATGGACTATAAAGATATGTGTGCATTTATTTCACACAAGTGGAAACAAGAGCAGCCCAGGGTATCTCAGATTGATTCATTTCAGTCAGAGCAATATATTGCATGTATGTACGCTCTTCAGTGTAGAGCTTTTATATCGCTTTTTCACACATTTCTTCACCTGGGAGACTCTTCTTTGTATTTCCAATATGCTTATTTCTCTGTGTAAAAAATACATTTTTATTTTCTCACGGAGATAATGTGAATGTACAAAATCAGAGTTGAGACAGTACATGGTGACTGCTGGCTATGTTACATAGGTCTCATGCTTTTTATTCATATAGCTGGACTTAGAAAATGAATAAATAGTAATGTAAATGTATTGAAGTGGTCTGGATCCATGCTTCTTGTACACAGTTAATTGACAATGGGTTTTGACCAATAACTTCAAAAAGAAAGATAAATCCTTACTGGAAGGGACAAAGAAATTGTGTGGACCAGAGATGGATTTTTGTCTTGGTGTCATCAGTCCCCATTGGAAGAGGGAGAACATGACTTGATTAAGGACAGCTCTGGCCAGCATAAGCAATCCATGATTTGCATTGCTTCAGTTCGTCTATGGCATGAAGTTGATCTGGGAGAATAACTTCTAAAAAGCCACCAGGCAGAAAGAGGATCCTGATGTTTGTAGCACTGATAATTTCTGCTTGCTTGGTCTCATCAAGGATGACAAGACTGCTGGGAATATGGAAGGAAATAAAGACTCAGTATGTTTCAGAACTGATTTGCTATGAATGTCTTTACAATACTTTATCCTATGCTGCTGACTAGGGGCATTACCTGATGATTAGCATAGATCCAAGGGTATTCTTTGACAATGGGCACAGTCAGCTTTGTCATGAGTCTGTAATATATGAAAAACAAACAAGGGGCTAAACGCTAGGCATTTTAACAACAATGTAAAAAAGCCTTATTTTAAAGATGTATTTCTTCCTACAACTATTGTTACCTCCATATTTCTATTTATCATCAGTGTTGTGAAGCCCACTAGTAACCAGGTTTTGTGATTTCACAAGTTTGTAGCCACTTCCGCAAAGCCCAGGTTCGTGGTATTTGATTTTAAATGACATCTTTTGACAGCTGTACATTTCAAATGCCTTGTGTATATAGCTCAGCAAAAAGGTTAAGTCTGGTATGCTCAGCCAAATTGTGCCCTGCATAGTGAACTTCACTGCTTGTGCTTTCCCATAGCAATGGGAGACGACCTAAACTAGTTAAGAACTGGAAGTGCACGCTGACATTTGTAATGATCCAGCTGAAAAAAATGCACGTGGAAGTCAGTGAAAGAAGCTGCTTGTATATTTCTCTTGATGTTTAAGCCAGCCATTGCTGCTCAGATTTTTTAAAATAGATAATTCTAAATGCTCAGTTTAAACATAGGAGCAGACTTCCAAATGCAGGCATGGATGCACGCCCTTCCCCTCAAATGAGTAAGCCTTTTCCATTTCTTACATACCCATTTTTGTGGGTACTTGCCACGTTCAGGCCTGCAAACCAACGAGATGCACGTATGGTGAGAGTGAAGATGTTTTTCATAATCACATTTTGAAAGACTTGTTCTAAGTGCGAAAGAAGGCTGAAGTTGGATTGCAGTGCTCACCCAGAAACTTTGCCAGCTGGACCTGAAGACATTATGAGATCCACACTTGCATGTGTCTTTGCTGAAACCTACTTCCTTCCAGTGCTTGGTTCTGTAGAGTGCTGCAAAAAAAAGGTTTGGGGATCTTTCTTCTGGCATGTCAATGCCCATGAAGGCTCTTCCCATGTATTAGTGCTGGTGCCTTAGCCCTAAAAACAAACAGAAATGTTTGCATATGTTTTTTTCTCAAGAAGTGAATTTCAAAGAGCTAAAAAGAAAATATTTCATGGTGCAGATTACTCAGGACAGTTTTACATATACTACCCTTCATATAGACATGGTTGTTTTGTAATGTTCCCTTTGTCTTTCTTCGCATTATGACCTTGCAACAGATTTAAGATTGAATATAGTAAGACGGGCCAAATTTATACTATGCCATAGTCTTTTAAACAAATTATATTGAAATGAAAACACACAATTATATTATTTAACAATTAAGACAAATATTTACTGTGGACTTCCCACACTTCAGAGTCTGTGGGAAGGAGTTGCAACTAAAATGTACAAGTTTGAATTCTGGCAACTTTTGTCCCGATTCTCCTTCTGGTAATAAAACTTACATATATATATATATATATATATATATATATATCATCAGAAAGCTGTGATGGCAACATCTGTTCTTTTCCACTTGCGTGCTTTAAGTTACTATAAAAAATTCTAGGGCAACTGCTAAGAACATTTGTGCCTCATTTTGACAAAGCCCAGCCAGAGCCTTCCTGATGGCCTGCTGAGCAGATAACCTCAGACTTTTTGCATGAGATGCAGTAAAATATAATTGTCCTCAAATGTGTTCCCACTGAGTTAGGAAAATGCCAAACCATAATTGCATCCAACTCAGAGCATTTGATGTATAAAATAATAAGATTGTTTTACAAGTGGCTCTTGCCATGCTAAATTTCACATTGAATTTTAGTGGTCAGTGTAAGAACTGAGTTCAAAGACAGACTTCTCAAATGTTCCACATTTTAGTTGTCTTTTGGAAATAATTATATTACAATTTTGGAGCCAAAGGTCTTTAGCCATAACTAACACAGTACCTTTCTCTTGACTGCCTTTCTGCTTTTTTTTTTTTCCTATATGTGTGGCATTTGTATGTAGGAGATGCCTTCTGAACGATCTCTAATTTAAAACTCTTTGTTGTAAATACTAGGGATAACTTGCATATATATTTTATTTTGGTAAGTGTTTTGTAACATTGAACCTTCCGTACATTGCTTTGTGCATCTTACCCCGTGTGTGTGCTGTTACACGTTGTAAATGAAGTGTCCTGGCTGCAGAGCAGAGGAATTGGCTGTTGACAGCTGAAGTACAACGTATAGGACTGCAGTAGCTTGATGTGCATTTGTTCTGGAGTAACTGCATTGCAAGGTTTATTTACTCTTTGAACATTGTTTGTCAAATGAATTTATTTTCTGGAAATAAGTACAAACTTTCATTCATATTATTTTTCTTTTATTGTACATGTTTGAATTAAATAATATACAAAGTGGAAGTTCCTCATCTATGTCTTATAAAACTTTATTGCGGAGTTTTAAAATTGTTGTGGTTTTCTTTATTGTCTACAAAATTTCCTTCATGATGCAAAAATGTATCAAGTGTCATATTTCTTGTAGCATTTTAAAGAAAAAAGTCACACCATCCTCTTTTGGTTTCCCAGTAACAGCTTTACTACTTCCCAGCACAAGTTCATTTAAACAACTCCTAAGCCTGCTTCTGGTATTGAAGTCTTCATTGTTTAGGCAAAGCCCATACTTGCTGGTGTCCCAGCCTATGATTACTGAGCTTTACCTTGTCCTGGCAGAGGATTCACCCAGTACCCCTTGGAATACATGCAGGTGCTGCTTCTGTGCTAATAGAGCTCCTGCTAACAGAGGATGGTGACTTAAGTGCACTTAAGTAGTCTGCAGTGCAGGTAAGGAGGATTAAATTCCATTTTCATTGGAACAAGTGCAAAACCATTTAAAGGGGATCACCCAAAAGGCACGTTCTGCACATATGTGTGAACAGGCTTTCCTGCCTGCTTGATAGAGTAAGAGGCAACACAGCTCGGGATTTGACTTCTCTGATTCAGGGAAATTTTCTGTATCAGTATTCTGATGGGGCAGAGGGACACATCTGAAAGGTGTGCCTGTGTCCTTCCTGCTCCAGGCTGTGTCAAAAATTGTGTTTTGCTGAGACATACCAGCTTTACAAAATAACATACTTTGCTGAAATCTTTTTATTAGAAATGTTTTGACGAGTTCAAATGCTTGCACAGTAGTTGATTTGCTAATTCTTTACCTCTCTTTCCAACATCCAGGCTTTCCTATTTCTTGGTTCATCTCAAAGATGAGAGTTTCTCAAGCAGCCTCCCAAGGCAGTTGCTGATGAGGTGGGATGTGTGGTGAGTGCTCCAACATTAAAGTGAAAGGCAGTTTGAGCACTTAGTGAGGTAGATTGGATAACATAAAAACAATACCCCAAGCAAACACTGGAGCAGGATGTAGCAATCAATAGGCTTTCTAAGGACCCTGTAGTTCATCTGGCCAGGGTGAGCTCACTTGTGCATTTTATTTCATGCTTGGGCAGTCAGGCTAAATCCTGTAGATTGTTCTGTACTATCAGCTTTGAAGTTCCTCGAGAGCTGATTTATCAGATGGAGCTTTTAGTTTTCACAGAATTAGCATTGCTTGACTTAGATGTGTTGTTGTTTGTTTAGGTTTTTTCCAAAGGCTGCATAATGACCTGTGCTTGGTAACAGAGACAAGGACTCAGGCCTTTTCAGAATGTTCCAGAATCAAAGGAGAAATTAAAAACTCAGCAGTGAAAAACAGCATGCCATGTAGCTTGTAAGGAAAGCACACAAATACTCCTTACACAAATAAATGCTTTACAAAATCTAGTTACTCTAACTATCTAGAGGATATGTAATTGTGAGAATGTGGTGAAACCATATAAACTGTTAGTGCAGTACTTTTTTTGTTAATCTTAAGTCTCTTTTTAGTTCACTGCAATCAGAATTTGTCCAGTGCCTGGGCTGAGAACTCACGTACTGCCACTGTTAGGTATTTAGGCTCTGATTTTAAAAAACAGACACGTGTGTGTGTGTGTGTGTACATGTGTTTCCACCTACATCTCCTTTGTAGACTCCGTGTGGCACCCCCAAATGTCTCTGCTGGCAGCTACAGCAGGTTGCACCAGACAGGTGACCCACATCCATCTCTCCCTCCCTCTGTTTACATTGCATCATTTCAGCCTACATTGCATCAACAGCCTGCATTGGGAGATGTGTGTGTGTGTGATTGACACCTGGACAAGATTTATCTGAGTCATTTTAATGTTTTAAGCATTCAGAGTGGGACACATGCAATGGCAGTCAAACCACCCTGTGGATGAGCAGAGGTTGGAAGGTGTCCATCTACATCACTGGAGTCATGTCAGTGAGGTTCAGGAGAGCAGAGCTGAGAGGACAGAGGAAGGAGTACCACTACATTTCAAGGGCTGTCTTTCTCTCCAAACACAAGGTGATGTAGGATTTATCAACTGTTTCTCCCAGGGATTTTTTTTCAGGAAAGCTGAAACTGCTTAAGGGGAAAGGAGAAGCCCCAGGTGCACCATGGCCCCTTTCCTATAAGCACACCCAGATTTAGAAATACTGAATTACTGAAAAAGTGTCTACAAATTGCTCTGTCAATAAGGTCAGGTATATCTAATTAACCATCATAGTCACTGCTGTCATATTCAATCTCCTAACAAAGGTAATTAGCACAGGAATCAATCTAAAAACCCCTGCATCTCCCACCTTCCAGATGAAATGTTTTTTAAGAGCAAATGATGAACTCTTGCTCCCATGTAATTATTTTCAAATCATTATTCTGTGATGAGACAAGACACTAAAAAGCAGCTCAATGAAACTTTGGTTTTTAAGGCTGTTTCTACAGCAGTTTTCTTGGCTGTCTGTTAAAATGCATCAAACCAGACTAACTGCAGAGTCCGTCAAGATCTAGGTAAGTAATGAATGATGTTAGTTCTAACTGGCAGGATGAGCAGTTTTTTAATGACTCAAACTTTTAAATGAGAAAGGAGGCTGAGGCTAAGAAGACTTAGAAAATTTCAGATGCTGCTTAATGGGTAAAGAGGAAAGAATTATTCATTGTGGCTCTCGTTTCTTCTTCTCAGTTAGCAAAACAGCGAGCTTAATTTGGCTATAGAAGTTCAGTCGACTAGAGCAGCGAATTGCTGCACATGGTCCTTTTCCTCTGAGCGCGGTGGACACGATGTCCCAGGTTCAAGCCAGGGCAGCTCAATTCTTGCAATATTTCGCTGTGGCCACAGGGTGGTGGTGAAGATCTTCCAGAAAACCTCGTTCCTCTGCGGTGCTGAGGGCACGTTCAGTGATATGTGCAGAGCATACGTGTCGCTTCTTTGCAGTGTGGTGACACCCTCAGTCACTGTTTGCAGTCACTTGAACCAACAAGGGTGAATTAAGGCCACTTCTTCTAACACATTAACTCCTGTTACTTTTGGTTTTATCCTTCACTGTTGATGATCAGCGTTCAGGGAGTTGATGATAAGCTCAGTTGACTTCCACTAGTCCTTAGCAGCAGTTTCAGTAGCTTCAAGAAGACATAGTCATGAATTGAATTATGGCTTTTTCATATGATTTACAAATAATATTTAATTTAGCAGCCCAATAGCTTTGACTGTTGCTTGAACAACTAGATAGGGAGCCTGCTAATGACACATGATAAACTTTGTAATTCTATTTATTTACTTTAATTCAACCTTGTTACCTCTTTTCCATAATCTCCTAATAATTGTAATGCTACATTCTCAGCATTTTTAGTTTTAATTTCCATAGTTTTTTTTCCCCTAAATCCATTGTAAATTACTTGATTCAGAAATTAAATTCATTTCATATTTTAGCAGCATAATAATAGTGTGACACGCCTTCCATTTCACAAATCAACACAGCTATCCCATTTGTGTGATGTATTTACAAAGGAACAGGGAAATTAAAGCCTTATTAATCCATTTTAACATTTTTCTTTCATGTAATAATCAAAGTATGGAGCACTTCAGCTTAATATTGGAATAAATAGAAAGTTTCCACTTTAAACCTGCTTTAATTATTGAACAGCTCTCAAAATTAAATCACTGACCTTTGAGAGTTTAGTGACCAAACAAGTGCTTGTCCTCAAGGCACATATCAGTGTGTGCATTCCTTTACATGAAGCTTTTACAGTCAGTTTAAAGATGCCCAAGAACACTGCAAACACCAAGTGAACAAGGTAAGAACAAAGGTCCTATATATGTGATGATATTGATGTCAGGTTGTGGAGTGCATGTGTGGGGACCACACTGTCTGTTCTTTAGGCAAAAAAAGCTTCTCTAGACAACTGGGAATGGGGCTCTCTGTAAGTGGACAAGGACTGTCAGACTTCTCCATGGGATCTCATATCCTAACAGTGTCATACAGAGCACTTCTTCCTTTTACACTTTCCTGGGGTCCTTTGACTAAGGTAGCAAATATCTATATGCCTCAGAAGGAGAAAATGTTTTATCTATTTTCACCTTTCTTTACTGCCAACCAGCAGCAGCAGACAATGTGGGATTTTTCTGGATGGTGATCAAACATCTCTGAGTAAATCCACTGGCAAAGACACCATAAATTATTTCTAATAATGGTTCCAAAATGGGAAACTTTTCTGAATGCAGAATAAAAAGATTAAGGAATGTGTCCCAAAGCTAAAGTTTTACTCTATAAATTAGGTTAAGGATGTAATTATTCTTACTGAAGACATACTGGTGTCTCTCTACATGGTACTTGTGTGCATTGTTTCATGAGAGTGAGAAACTGTGGTGAAGAGATTAAAGAGAAGACATCATTTTTTAGTTAACGCTATTTAATATTGCAAAAGAAATAGTGATCTTACTCCTCATTAATAAAAGAACCAATTCTAAAGCAAATTTGTATAAAATTTACTCATACTCAGTCACTTTTACCTGTTTAAGTATTTAACCTATATAGCTGAAGCTTCTGTGCACTAGACATTTATGAATCTTAATTCCAAATAAAACAGGTATTAATTTTGTTGCTATGTGCTTTTTATTCCTGAGTCTAATCCCAACAATTGCTCTTGCACTCAATTAAACCATCTGTGTCCAGGATTAAGTCTTAGTGTATTTCAATGGGCCTATATTAAAAGAAAGTATATAGGAGGGACTCTCTTGAAAAGATAAATATAAGCTGGACTTTTAGTAGCAAAGTTGCACGAATTGGGAGCACCCAGCTAAAGACTTGTTTTTGCCAAAAAGCTCTTACTTGATCCCTCCCACCTTTGCCCTCATCTCACACTGCTCCAGCTCTAACCCCTCCTCTGAGGTCATTCAGCTTATTAACCCAGTAGGGGACAAATTCAAGTGAATAGTAACAAAAGAATTAATAAATTAAAAAGTGATTGCTTTGTGCTGAATGAGGGGGTTGAATTGCCTTAGCTCACCTCCCATGGCACCATCTCCTGTAAGATGAAAGGTACCTGTGCAGTCACACATAGGTGCAGGGAGAAATGTGGATGGAGAATTGTGTAAAGCTAATATTTTAAATGTAGAATGATGCTATGACTGATATCTCCATTAAATAAGTATTTAAAATAGCATTCAGTAGTCTCCAGGACTGTAATTAATGCTATATAGAGATTTATAAATAAAACAAAAGAATAGACATGATGAAAATCCATTTCCTTATTTTCCTTCCTCCACCACCCTGCATTCCTTTCTAAGGCACACATAGTCAGATGTACTTTTTCTTCTTAAACATTTCAGCCAAAGTCATATAACCTATCTAAAGAATGAAAAGCTGGATTGTACTGCTGGCTATTGTAGTCAGCACAGCAGAAACACAAAACCAGGACGTCTGCACCCAAGGGTTTCCTGGCATCCCTGGCAATCCTGGGTACAATGGCATACCTGGTCGTGATGGACGTGATGGGTCAAAAGGAGACAAGGGAGATACAGGTACTATGTTCAAAATGAATGATTTAATATAGCAAATGCAAGGCCATTCACTCCCAAATTTGTCTGTAGTTACTCTGCATGAATGGGATTATTCTGCCTAGCCTTCAGAAAACATTTCAGACATTTATCATTTACCTGTTTGAAGAAGGAAATATAAAGAAAGGCTTAATAATGAAAGCAAGACAGCAAATACTATGGAGATGTCAGATTCATGGGATAAAAACAAAAGAAAAAAAGGCTTTACATTCTATCATGGGAGTATTTTCAAGTCTGTTTGAAAAATTTAAAGCCTGCAAACCTACTCCTACTCCTCTAAAATAGAAACTATATTTCTGCAAAGAGCTTCAAGCCCATTAAACAAAAAAAGCAACAAGTGATACCTTGTTTGGTATAGTAGGAAATACTCAGTGGTAAGATTTCTCTTTTTTATCTGAATTATACATTTGTAGGACTTGATGCTGAGTGTGCCTACTTGTTATAACTCAAGAGTCACTAGAGTAAGTTCAGAAATAGAGACTATTGAACAACAATGTAGGATTTATGTCTGCTCCAGCAGGCTATAATAGAGATTTGTATGAGATATCAAAGCCAGAGATAATCTCAGCATCCTAGAGCTAATCACCCCCATAATACCTTAAGCCTTAAGTTAATGATGGCACTTGTATCCATGCTGGAGTATCAAGGTCTGGGTTGCGCAAGGTGATAAATCTGCAGGAGTGTGGACATGTAACACTTCATCACTTTTTAAAATATAGAAAGAAACAAAGATTTCCATTATCATCTGAATAGGCACATACATTTATTTTTTGTGTGTGCAGAGTTCCAAAAAGGTATGAAAAATAGTAAACCTAGAGCTTTCTTAATTTATTTTCTAAAGTCCCTTCCTGCACTCCAGTGGGTTATCATGATACCGTTGGATTCTCTTACCCAACTTTTTTCCTAAATTCATCTCCTATGACTATACTGACTATTCCTTGTTTGAACAAAGTGGAGTGAATGCACCATTCTTTATACTCTATGTAGTATACTTTATACTCTTGGTTTAATACATGAGAATTCATTTTCTTTCTTACCAAGTCAATGAAATTTCAGCAGATGCTGGGATGCACCCACTGCGCAGGAAAATGATAAAGAAATGTCCATATGGCTGGAGAGTTACTCTTGAAGTATGATTACCACCAAACTGCTGACTCTGTTTTTCTTCTGTTGCTGCTCTCAGGATGTATCCAGTTATTTGATCATGGACCTCTTGGTCTTCTGTACTACCTCTGTACTACAAAAATAATAATTCTGTAATATGGACCTCTTGGTCTTCTGTACTACCTCTGTACTACAAAAATAATAATTCTGTAATTGCTCTCTGTAGAGCAGTGGAAAGTCCATGTCATGCTAGGTACAGGTATCAAGAGTGTGAATGCCTTCCTCAGCTTTATAGGCATAGGCATTATTATTCCACTGTAATAATCCATTACCATCGGTCAAACTCCTGCACACGTGTCTTTTTGACGCGGGAGTTCATCATTCATAGAATCATGGAATCATTACAGCTGGAAAAGACCTCTAAGACAATCTAGTCCAACCATTAACACAGCACTGCCAGGCCCACCAGTAAACCATATCTTTGTTTCACTGCTAGGCTTCATGCCCCAGCAATGCTTCTTGCTGAATTTCCATGAATGGAGGCAACAAGAGAAGCCGCCTCCTCTTGCCTCCTGGCAAGCTGGTAATCCTTGCCAGGTTAAAACAACTGTACATGTCTCAATAATTTACCTCTTTATGCCAAGGATTCCTTCTGCATCCAAAATGCACTGTCCTCAAGCAGAGTTTCTCTGCTCTTTGTCAATCTCTCCATAAGATAAAAGTGTCAGCAATGGCAGACACTAGAAATCAGGAATAAGGGTATGATTTACATCACTGTTTGTCCAGGCTTGAAGAGGAAAGATTAAAGAAGGACTCTTCCAAAATTTTCTGATAATTTGTTTAATGAAAATCTGGGTTTTTTTCTGTACTAGGTGAACCAGGAGTTCCTGGCAGTCCAGGAAAAGATGGTGTCAATGGAGAGAAAGGTGAACGAGGTCAGAGAAATGTTTCAATTTAATACTTGTCTATGAACTGCTGCCCTTGTGTTTGTGAACTTATCATACAACCTCATGTATTTTAGATTAATTTCTAAATTGAGAACAACAAACTGTACAAACAGCATTATTCCTAACATGAGAAGCCAAAGGCCATTGAGCAGAATTGATCAGCTTCTTTTCCTTATGGATTGAACATATGTTCTGATGGTCTTTTGTCCATCAACTGCTAAAGCACCTTTTATATCATGAGATCTTCACCTTCAAAACCTTGTGCAACAACCAGAGCAGTTTTGAAGGCTTTGATCGTCAGATCAATGGTGGGTGAAGGGTAAATAAAGCATAGGGTGCCAAGTAACCAGGACAAGAAGCCTTTAGTTTGCTGCAGTAGCAATCTATGTAACCCAACAAAAGTAGAAATTATACATAGAAATTATATGTAGAAACATGTGGCAAGCAAGTTCAGGATGCTGTAAAAAAAACCTTCCTCTTCCTCTGTTTTGTGAACACTGTCCCCCATTTTGTATACCAAAGGCTGTAAAAAAGCGTGGAGAGATGTTGCTTTTGTATGAGATGATGTGAGCTGTCAGTGCTATCACCAGCCCATAGACACCTTCCTTTCTTTGAGCTTATTCTTGCTGCTGCCAGCCAAAGCACCTGTTTCCTAACAAAATAACAGGCTCTTTAGACATTTGCTTATCCTGTACTTAAATGTATGAGAAACTGTGTGTACAGTCAGCATAGTATGCAGTGGAGATGCACACCTGCACATGTATTTCCTCATGATGAAACTCAGTTTGTGCCTTCCAACGGAGAATCACAAAAAAGTCGTGGAGTTGTTTTGTTTTTGTTATTACTTAGTTGTTTGGCTTTTTTTCCCCTTTAGGAACCAATGGGACTGTTGAAGAGAAGGGGAACAAAGGAGATAAAGGAGAAAGAGGACCACCTGGGAAACTGGGACCAAAAGGATTTATAGGATCTGTGGGTTACAAAGGTCAGAAGGGAGAGCTGGGACTGCAAGGACACAAGGGGTTAAAAGGAGACATTGGACCCATAGGTCCAAAAGGGACAAAAGGTGAAATTGGCCATCCTGGAAGAGTTGGTTTCCCAGGGCCAATTGGCCCGATTGGTAATCCAGGTCCTAAAGGTAA